CAGAAAGAGAGGGAGGGAGGAAGGGGTGGAGAGAGAGAGAGAGAGAGAGAGAGAGAGAGAGAGAGAGAGAGAGAGAGAGAGAGAGAGAGAATCATTTATTAGAAGGACTTGCTATGGAAGGACAGCAAAAAGCAATATTCTATCCAGGTGTGACTTCAGCAAGGGGATCAAGGTGTGGAGTTTACATGAGGGTGCAAGGAATGTTTGCTCACATCAGGGACCGGTTCATTTCATTGCTTTGACCAACCACACATGTTTACCAGTGTCTGGGATGGATCAAGATTCCTGATGAGGTTAAAGCCTGCTGGGAAATGTTGTAATTGTCTGAGTCCCAGCATGCTCTAGGCACTCTGTAATCTTCAGTCAGGACACAGAAACTGAGGGGACCAGGGGGCCTAAATAGAGACAGATGTGGGCTGAGGAGATAGCTCAGTGGCCTAAGCTCCTGCCTGGCAAGCACAAAAACTCAGGTTCGATCCCTGGAACTGTATGCTGTGCCAGCCACCAAGACCAGGTACGGTGGTGCACACCTGTAATCCCAGTGCTGCAGAGGCTGAGACAGGAGGATCACTATGAGTCTAAGTCACACAGCAAGACCTTGTACCATATAGATATATAAAAAATAAAAAATAGAGATAGATGGATAGATAGATGGTGATAAACGGATCATTGGCAAGTAATGGATGACTAATAAATACATAGATGACTGATAGATAGATGATATATTATAGATAGATAATTGATAGAGAATATATCAATGATAGATAGATAGATAGATAAATAGATAGATAGACAGACAGACAGACAGACAGACAGACAGACAGACAGATAGATGAGCAGCCAGAGGATAGCTCAGTCTATCTGAAATAATTAGGAAACCAATTAGCATCCAGACAGAATCAACTTGGATGCTCATATGTAGTCTACAAACTCTTAGCCCTGCACTATTCCAACATAGTGGGGAGTCTCAGAAGGATGGTGGTCAGGAAAGGCTGCAGAGCCTGTGCCATCAAAGGCTATTTGAGTTTTGTAGTGTGGTATTTTAAGACAGCTTAAAATTCTATGTGCAGTCATACCCATCCCTACCCTTCATTCTTGTTTCACCCATGAACTGTCCTCACAGGGCATGGCTGGGCCAGGAAAGGAAGGGAGTGCAAATCAGGAAGAGTTTGCTTTCTTCTCTAGGGATCATTTTGATGTGTCATTCATGGCATTCAAGCCAGCATGTTCTGTACATGTCTCGCTAGGAGCCAAAGCCAGAAATAAGCATGCGAAAGTAGCTAACTGTTTTAGGGAGGGTCAGGAGAAAGAAAATAAGAGATGGGGACCAGATGAGGAGATGGACTGAAAGTCACCGAGGACATGCTAGGCTTTAAAAGAACCTGTGCACTCCAGGACAGGAGTGAAAACCTAAGAATGGTGTCTGAGGAAGATGCCATAGATGATCAGAAGAAGGGAGACAGGAAGACTAGATGGAAGAAGTCTTTAGCCAGAACAATACATTCATTCAGAACAGAAGAACATTCATTCTGACCAGCCAGATGATGGGCAGTAGAAATGGAGCAGGAAAAAAAAAAAAGCAAAACTAAGTGGTAACCTAGGGAACATGAGGAGGTAGTGGGTGGGGGAGCAAACAGCGGAACTGTGGACAGGAGAATGTGGACTGCAGATGGACCTCACACTCCTCTGCTGTGCGGTCCTGCTAGCCCTCTGCCTTATGAGCTCTGTAAAGGACACCACTGCACTTAGCTGAATGACTGCAGGAGGTTTACGAAGAGCTGAGTTGACACAGAACGTTGTGAACACCCGAAGACAAGGGAAAGTTACTGCTGCACTCTGTTCAGGCTGGTTGGAGACTTATAAAGCTGGCCTCTCTCTCTCCAGAAATAGTTGCAGTTTTAGTGCTGAGGTGTTCTCTATATAGCGGCAACACCTTCCCCCCTGACCTCAATTTGGAGAGGCTGTTGCAGAGGCATCAAATGGTTTTGAATCTGAGAGTGACTGGAATTATTTCGGAGCCTCTCCGAAACTAGACTCCCTCAAGGCTCCAGTGTACCCATGATTTCTTAAGACTCCAGACTCCCCTGGCTTCTTTTTTTATTTATGAGGTTTTTTTTCCCATAATTTTATTATGGGAAACAAATAGCAATAAGACAGCTTCAAACCAAATTGGTAGGACAGTTTCAGTAATTAACACACTGCATACGTTCTCCCCAGCTTCTGAAGTATCACACTTCCAGGATTCTGCTCCTAACTCTCTGATCTCTTGGCCTCTTGATCTCGTTTACTGATCCTTTCTTGAAGAGTTTTCGGTAGTGTATACTAATTTTATAGGACACTGCATTTCACTGGGGGCTTTCACACACGTGCATAGCATGCTTTGGTCACATCCACCCCTTTTACCCTCCTTTACACTCCTATGGATTCTTTTTTATAAAGCCCATTTTTTAAAACATAAATACTGATGACTTCTGCTTTGGGTCCCAGTTTCATCCACTTTCCATTCCAGCCCCTGACTGGGCAGTGGGTATCTCCAGGTGGTGGGGGCCCCTCTCTCATCTTGGGATGAACGCCCCCTCCCTGCCTGCCAGATGCTTTGCCATGAGGTCTGGGTGAAAGCCTGGGTCATCCTGGATGTTTCGTGTCCTTCCCTTGCAAGCTGTGATCTGCCACCCACATTCACATCTCCCTGTGCCACACCTCTGGCTCTCAGGCTTTCCCTGTCCTCTGCCCTGACCCAGTCCACTTGCAATCTTATGGTGAGGCAATACTACAGCCTCACTTGTAAACCAAGGTGAGGCAAGCAGATGGGGTGCTGCAGAGTCCCGGGGTTCTGCCATGGGCCTTGGAGTGAAATATGGAATGAGATGAGCCTATCTATGAAGATTTCAATTTTTTATTTTTGGATTCCATTTTATGAAACAGATTCAGGAGGCCTGCCCCTTAACTCAGTTCTTTAACTGGCTGCTTCAACAAAGCATTCAAGCTCAGGTTGCTGTGGTTTGATCCCCACAACACAAGCCAGCCAGTCATGCCTTGAAGGCATTCGGAGCAAAAAAAACACTTATGAAACAGATTCACAACTATAAAAGCTTCCCAAACCACTGGTAAGCATGAAATTTGGTTCCTGAATTTCTGCTTAGCATATATAATACATTCATAGTTGGTTACTGATACTGGCTAGCTCCCAGGCAGAGTGGCACATGGCAGAGAGCAGCAGTTCATGGCAGCAGAAAACAGCAAAGATCAAAGGGAAGGGCAGCAGCTGGGACTTCTAGGCAGCCTCTCCCCTCCTTGTGCTGTAAGCCCACTACCCTGGGGTGGGGGTGTAGAACTCACACAATGTCCATGCCCTCCTTTTGCTCAGGTGAGGAGGTTTACAAACTAAGAATCCTGGCTCTCTGCTGAGTCACATAATTTAACTTCTAAACAACTCAAGTTGACACAACACATCAACCCTATACACAGGTAGATAGTAGTATTGTATGAAATAAATGTTGTCCAGTGCTACTGTGCTACCATCTGATATTTACCCGTTTTGCAAAGCTGATCACTCTGAAGCCCATCACTCGCTCCTCCCCAAGCTCCACCTTCAGGTCTCTAGTGTCCACTAGAACCAGTGCTCCTGCAGCAACCTTCCTCTTTGATTTCCGTAGCTTACCTCCACAGTATAACTCAAAGTTCTCAAAGCAACTGACCTCCCTTTGTCTAACGCAGGATCTTTGCACAGAGCTTTCTCACAGGAAAAAAAAACTCTATTCTTATTTCCCCAGCATTTTAGTGATGTCACCTTGCTGTTGACCTTGCACATATCTCCTCAAAACCTGTTCCTTTCTATTGTTTCATACTTTACTAGTGCACATTAAATTTCAGAGTAGTTTTTCTCTAGGACAGAAATACCCTCTTCCCTTTGAAATTCATTGTTTCTGAAAAGATTTGCCTATAATCTATTTTCTGCAGATGTTATCACCTCCATCCCCAGCTCCAGCTCCCGGTCACTCTGGGAAGCCTGGGTAGTTGGGGATGGACTTCAAGATACAGACAAAAACCCTGCCGTGGGTGCTTACCGAACACTGAGCGGAAGGCTTTTTGTGTGCATGGTGAAAGAAAATTCATCTTTTATTCATTTACTGGGATTTTGAAAGCTACAGAATCAACAGTAATGCAGCTCTGATGACATTTTAAAGGAATTCTCACTCAAGTGTATTAAAAAGGTTCTCTTTGATTCTGTGACTTGTGTCTGTACCCCATCACCATCAAAAATTTAATTGTTCTTGAAATTTTAATATGTTTCTGATGAAGGGTCTTTAGGGCACTGGAAGTGTCTATAATAAAGAGGATGGAAAATGACTGCAGACCTGTATTGATAAGCCCAGGGCTACTGGTGATCTAATCCTCATATATTTCGTTGCAGTCCTGTGGCAGCATCTACAAAGGCCTTGCTCAGACCGGAGCCTGGGGCTGCTTTGATGAATTTAATCGAATCTCCGTGGAGGTCTTGTCTGTTGTGGCAGTGCAGGTATGTGGGGCAGGAGTTGGTGGGGATCCCGTGATGTTTCACAGCCTCTTGCTTCCAATCTTTTCTCAGTACCCCTTCTCCTTCCCCCTTGTTATTTCATTATCTTTTCTCTACCCTCTAAAGTTGGGTCTGAGTAAGAATTTTCTCCGGTATCAATACTCTGCAGTTTCCCACTAAAGGACATGCATGGCCACTGCAATGTGGGGATAAAGATCTGTCCTGCCTGCTTCCAAGAGCTGCCAAGAGAATAAAGACCAAAAGGGGAGAGCCAGCTTCTTGGAATGGCCCCACCCTCTTGATATGAACCAGGGCCTAACTGTGAGCTCTGCTTCCTATCTAAGTCTTTGAGCAAGTTGCTCCCCCTCTTTCAACCATTTTCTCCTATGACTTCTGGCTTCTCCATACAGATAGTTGGTATAATAATAGGATACTGCAGAAATACGATAGCTGATGAATTAAGAAGAGTACACAGCATCAATCTTGCCCAGTGAAGTCCTTTATTGGTCGGGCTTTATATAAGTGTACCACTTGCCTCTCAAGGCATGAGAAAGCATGTATGGTCCAGCTACAGTATGATAAACACTGAACTAAGGACCGAGGTGAGGGTGCCCCATAGGATAGGCTGTGATTCCTCACTTTAAAGAAGTGTGAGCTCTTAAGACATACCTGAGCGCTTTCAATGTTCTAGAAGTGATTTGAGTTCTCATGCATGGTATAAAACAAGACTTTCAAGTTCATTATCTTGACAGTCAGCCTTTGAATGAATGGAGACAATTTGAATTTGGGGAAGGACTGCACAGGCAGAGAGAGCAACAGAACAAAGGAAGGTAATAGATGAATAAGCCTTTGCTAAAAATCTCTTCAGGGCCAGGCATTCTTCATTTATCATCTCTTCTACTTCCACAACACCCCTACTATTTTATTCCCAATATCAATATGAAGATATTGAAAACCAGAGAAGAAAATTCACTTGCTCAAGGGCACCAGTGCAAGTTGCAAGATTAAGATTTGAACTCAGGACTTGACCCACATCACGCAAGTGCCAATCTGGATCCAGTGATATCTCAGGGGTAGATTTAGGAGGAGAAAATAAACTCAATGAGATCTCAGGGGTAGATGTATGTCCTCTGCAGTATGTGGTAGAAAACCCTGAGGATGTCCAAGGATAAATTGCTGCCAAGTAGAGCTGTTGGTCATGGAGCTTGTGTGTTCTGATCTCACTCCCTCTTCATAAAGCCATCAAAATTCAGTGACAAAGCCCATCCTGATGACCTTATCTGATCCTAATCCTGCCAAAGGCTCCACGTCTAGTAACACAGTTCAATTAAGTTTCTACCTTCTCAGTGTCTCAGAGCAGGAGCACGGAAGCCATGACACACTTTGAAACCACCTCCAAGTCACAGTGGGAATCATACACGTTTTCTGGCAAATTGCACCACTGAGGGTTCACTTTATAGCATGGAGACAGATATGATACCTTTCTAGGTCTGTTTGAATTTGAGATGTTTGTCCATTGTTGGGTATAAGATGGGAAATAAGCAAGTAAAACAAACTAGAAATATTAATTCTGACATGTGAATGGTTCTGAAAATCAGAAGAGATTTTTCAGATTTTCTGGGTTTTGCCCACTAGCACCACTGGGAAGGATTTTGTATGTATTGGCAGCTTTCATTTTAGCATTTGATTTCCTTATTTACTCCACTCTTTTATTTCCACTCACTTTTGTCTCTATATCTGTCCTCTTTCTGTTTATGACTTTCTACCTCTTTTCCTCTTGTTGTTTCTGCCGATTTCGATAGGCATCACCAGCCAGGCTGCACTGCTCTGCCGCTTCCATGTAAGCCCAACACCATCCACCATGCACCGCTCTAACTGGGGGTGTCCCAGGGTGATGCGCAGGAGTAGGGGAGGCCAAAGGCTGTTTCTGTGTGCCCTGCCCACTTAGGGACCTCTTCTCAATGAGTCTCCACAAGGAGTCCAGAGAAGGAGGAAAGGGGGTCAGAGAGAGTTGGATCAGGGCAGGATGGAGTGCAAGGTGAGCAATGGCCATTTTTAAAGCGGCTTTTTATAGTTGTGGCTTTACCCCTTACCAGCTGGGTGACCTTGAGCAAGTCTATGTTCCAAATTCCTTACTGACAAGAGAGATTAACAATACCTGGGGTAGCTGAAATAATTTGTAAATAATTTAGAGTCTAAATCATGTAAATCAAAGCCCTAAAGATAGTAGATACTCATACATGAGGTGATGATGATAACAATAGTAGTGATGGAGATATTAGTGGCAATGCCACTTGTGATGATAATGAAGGTGGTGGTGGTGGTGATGGTAGTGATGGTCGTGATGGTCGTGATGGTCATGATGATGGTGATGCTGGTGGTGGTGGTGGTGGTAGGATAGTAGTGGTGGTGGTGGTGGTGGTAGTGATGGTCGTGATGATAGTGATGGTGGTGGTGGTGGTGGTGATGATGGTCGTGATGGTAATGATGATGGTGATGGTGGTGGTGGTGGTGGTGTGGTAGTGGTGATGCTGGTGGTGGTGATGGTCATGATGGTCGTGATGAT